ACTTCTAAAGATTCCTATACTTTTGATGATGTACAAGAAGCCTTTAATGAACTTTATGATGAATATGTCAACGCTTCTAAAATTAACAAGGATTTGAAGAAACAACTTACTTCCATGGAGAAGGAAGTTGATAAACTATCAAAAGATAATGAAAAACTTAAAGAAGAAAATAAGTTTTTCGGAAAAAGAAGCGCCGACAAACCGGAAAGTTCAAAATGTTGTTCTTGTATGTCCCTTAAGGAACAAGTAGCAAAACTTGAAGGAACCTTGAAGAAGTTTGGTGTTTCTCATAAAAACCTTAATGATGTTCTTGATAATTTGCAACTTACTAAACATGGCTTAGGCTTTGAAAATGAAACTAATAATAAAGAAAAAGTTGAGCAACCATCTAGGAAACCTAAAGCTCAACTCAGGAATAATGAAAATCAAGATAATAGACAACCTAGAACAATTAGGAACACTAGACCACCTAGAAAGAACACTAGGATGAACAATGGGCAAGTTAGAAAACCTAGCAACTATTATCAACCTAGGAGAATGCATAATCCAAATGTTATTTGTCATTATTGCAATATGGTAGGTCATATAGCACCTGTGTGTTTTAGTAGGCATAGGCATTGCACATAAAGGATATTCAATTTCTAACCAATCCCTGCAGGAATCAACGCAAAAGAAACCATATTACTTCTTCTATTATGATGAAAAGAAGAAGATTCACATACCACTTCCAGAACCCACACAAATCAAACCGAGGTATAGACATTCGGTTCAAGTAGACTGGAACCCGCCAACCGCAAAACGACAAGTTGGCCAAGGTAACACTTAAACACGCGTGTTGGTATGTGTGTGTGTGTTTGCGTAAAATGTGTATGTAATTAAGGGTGCGTGTGTTTATTAGTTTAAAAAGTCGTGTTACTAATCCTCTAGGACCCAAAAGACCAAACGGGTACCAAATGTTTTTATTTTCAGGTGTCAAAGTCAAGGGGAACAAAGTAAATCGATTTTTTTACCAGACTTGGTGTAAATCGATTTACAGACTTGAGATAATCGACTATCACAGCCCGCAGAAGTTTGGAACCAAGAAGCTGAAGGAAACGACAATCGATTATCCACTTTAAGATAATCGATTATTTGAGCCTGCAGAAGTTTAAGGCAACTAAGGCGCAAAACAATCGATTTACAGGGAGTGTAAATCGACTATTGAAGCCTGCAGTTTCTTTGGCGGAGAATCTGAAGACTCAGATAATCGATTTACAGGGAGTGTAAATCGATTATTAACGGCAGAATTTCAAAAATCTGACCGTTACAGAGACGTTGGAACTGCATTCAAGGCACCTTTTTGACTTCCCAAACGCATCTCAGGCCTCTTCCACTATATATTGGTGACATCCATTCATTTTATACTCACACAAATCACAATTCCTTCATATATTCATCAGTATTACATCCTTCTTGCAATTATTCTTCAATTCTTGCTATTGTTCTTCAACTCTTAGCCAATTTTTCTGCAATTTTTCTCTACTCCCTCTCTACTTTGTTGAAATGGCAGGAGGTCATCAAAGAAAAAGATCCCGCATCGGCAAGAACGTGGCTTTTTCCTCGGCTCCTCCACCACCTGCGCACAAGTATCTCGACGGGTCGTTCCTTTGGTTCAACGACCGCGAAGAGGCTGCGAGGTTCTCGGAGAAGTTTGAGCACCGGGAGATTCTTCCTCCCCGGTTCTTCACGGGCCGCTTCATTCACAGCTCCATTCCACGCCAGGCATGGATCATCCTCCAAGAAGGACACTTCCTCGACCTACTCTACATCACGAAGAACGACTATCAACCTTTTCTTGTTCGAGCCTTCTACTCGAACTTGAAAAAGGATGAGGACGGATCGTTAATTTCAAACGTCAATGGGGTGGAGATCTATTTGAATGAGGAGAACATTCAAATCCTCACCGGGCTTCGACGGGATGGACAGGATCTCGGGCTCTACGTCGGAGAAGAAGGAGCACGGTTCAACGAGACCGCCTTCTTGGAGGAAGTGGGCATCCGAAACTTCGTCCCCACTCCTCAACAGCGGCGTCCTACGATTTCTTCCATGAGTCCCGTGTATCGTTTCATCTTCTATGTGTTGACACGGATCCTCAAGCCCAGGAAGTTCAACCACACCACTCTCTCCCAAGAAGACACGAAGACGATCCATGCGATGATTCACAACGCTAATATCAATTGGTGTAAATTTGTGATGATCCACATGTTCAACGCCACCTCCAACAACCGGCCGCTCCCCTATGCTCTTCTCGTCATGGCGATCCTTGATGAGTACCACATCAAGACGGACGTCGGGCCGAAATGCAAAGGGACGAAGCATTGGGTGATTGACGAGTCCTCCTTCCACCCGGGAACCGATGAAGCTACATTCCCGCAGCCTCGTCCTCGTCGCCAACCGAGAGCTACAGCCTCGACTGCCACCGCTTCAACCAATCTGTCTCTCGCCGAGCAAATGTCGGCTTTGACCACTACCTTGTCTCGGATAGACACCAACGTCTCCAAAACGGCACATAACGTCGATGTTTTGAGCCGTGAGCTTCACGGGTATTTTGACTTTGTCAATTACCCTTACGCTCAAATGGTCCCCTACGTTTCTCCACCGAATTTCGGAGGTGAACCAAGCGGGACTCAAAATGTTGGTAGGGACGACGCGGTGGACGTTGAAGAAGAAGAAGCAGAAGAAGAAGAAGAAGAGGAAGAAGAAGCCGATGATGATGATGATGATGATGATGATGATGGCGATGGTGATGAAGATGGAGACGTTGAAGAAGAAGACATTGACGAAGAACAACTTCTCAATGATCTTTCCCCGGACTTCTAAGAGCTCTAGCTCTATTTTTCTCCTCTTCCTTATTTTATCATCTTTTTATGTACTTTCGTTATGAACTCCTCCACTTCCCTTAATTAATTAATAAAAATTTTTATGGTTTTTGTTATTAAATCTTTTTGTTAATGTCAAAAGGGGGAAGATAAGGGCTATGCATATTTTCAGGGGGAATTTTATTAAGGGGGAAGGGGGAATTTTTTTTTTTTTTAAAAAGATCAAAACCCTATGCATATCCCCATCTTGTTTGCCATTATCAAAAAGGGGGAAATTGTTGGAACACACTTTGCACGTTTAACTAAAGTCGTGTTCATTTCTGACAGGTTTTGATAATTGCCAAACCGCCGTGGATATAAAGAGTTTCGTTGCATAACTCAAGGCGCGAAGAATGGCATGGAACAAGACCTAAAAGACTCAAGGACAAGATCAAGAATTGAAGACTTAGTCGAGTTGGTCTTTTGTGATCAAAACCGACAATCAATTCAAGTCTCGGTTCTCAAAGAGTCTAAATATTTTTTACGAAATCATAAAATACTTTTGTGCATCAAAATAAACATTTGTGATAAAATTTTTATTGTTAAAATCCCTGGTCCTTGCTCAGAACCAAAATCACCTAACTCGGCGTACGGTGTTCGGCGTTCGGTTTTTTGGCGCCCGAACCAACTCGGTGGTTTTCTATGTTTTAAACCTTGTTTTTATCTCTGAGCATATTTAAAAGGTTCCAAAATAATTATTTCATAAAAACCACTTTTGTATCTTGGTCAATCGGTCTAACACGTGAGAAACGGTCAAAACCGTACACACGTGATTTACGACCTTGGAGACTTGGTTTTTACCAAACAAGTCCTGGTTTCACTATTTTATACCATATACAATGTTTTTCAAACTTGGTTTTTACTTTTGGGAACACTTCGTTTTTGGACCTCGGTTTTTCAAAACGGGTTTCAGTTGGCTATACTATAGCTGGGTGATAATCGATTATCACCTTAGTGACAATCGACTATCAGCCCCTGCAGCTTTGGAACTCCAAAGTTCTGAAGCACTCAATAATTGATTATCACTTATGCAATAATCGATTATCAACCTGAGCAGCCAAAACCCAGAATCTTCTGAGAGGACCAATAATCGATTATCACTTGTTGACAATCGATTATCTGGGTTACCGTTGTCCTCCAACGGATAGAATTTTAAATTTTTGGACAAGGAATCTTTTGATAATCGATTATTACGATTGGATAATCGACTATCAGCCTGTGTCTCTGAAAAATTTGTCTTCATCCTATTGGAAATTCTAGCAACGGTTTTATCCCATTTTGGGCTATAAAATGGCACCCAAATCCTCTCATTTTACACACAATTCTTCAACATTTCAATACTCTTTCATTGCATAATCATTCCTATTTTTCTTAGCTATTTGAGAGCCAATTCTTGAAGAAATTGTCGTGTTCTTGAGCGTTTACTTGTTCACTCATATCTACTCTTTGTGAGAGTTTCATTCCTGAGTGTTTAAGTGTTTTTATACACTTTAAGGGAGGTTGTTCCCTTGTTGTAAATTCGAAGGAAGTTCTTTGTTCCTTCGTGAGAAGTCTTGGAGTGCGGTATCTCCGAGCAAAGGTGTTGAGGCTCGTGTGACTCGAGTTCTCAAGTTGTATCGGTTTGTTGAGCACCCTTAAGCTTAACGGAGTTAGTGTAGCTCGAGAGAGTCTCTCGGGAGGCTGGATTAGCCACTCGTTGTGGTGAACCAGGATAAAATCCGGTGTGCTCCTTCCTCACGCTCTTTACTTTTACACTCTCATTTTTAATTTCCTGCAATTTTGTTTTAAACGCTATTCACCCCCCTCTAGCGTTGGGCCTTTATTCTAACAGAATCATTCCTTGAGTCCTCCTCAAAATAACAACTCGTTTAGACCCCCGGTTCGGGTATAACATACAATCAAGATAGAAGTGACAACATGAAATGAAGAGATGGAGCTTAGATGAATATTAGAGAAAGATTTTAGGATACTCTTGTCATAAAAACATGTTTAGCACTATATATTTTTTATTTCAAAATCCGATTATATTAACATTGTGAACCTTTGATCCACTAAAAAATACTGTGAACCTTTGATTGTTTAGAATTGTGGGTAACATATATTTTGATTTTTATTCGAACATATGACTTCTCCTTAATAAATGCTTACTAGTAATGTGGAATTTTGTACTAGTTATTATTGTTTTCCACATCACATATATTATTAAACGTAAAAGGTAAATATATACAATACAAATAGGTATAGTATTTTTAAGAATAATTGTAATAATAAAAATAATAATAAAAACAATTTCTAGCAAATTTAATTTGCGGTAGTAAAGTGACATTTGTAGCGATTAAATTTTGTTACTAGACTCCATCTTTTGTGGCAAAATAAAAATTGTGGCATTATAATTTTGCTACTAAATATGATATTTTGTGGCAAATAATAATTTGTAGCAACTAATATGTGCCACTAAAAATGAGCTTTTGTTGCAAATTTCTATTAGTGGCAAATCATAATTTGTCACAAAAACTATATTTTTTGTGGCAAATTTAAATTTGACACAAATACTTTTTGTAACAGGGTATCTGTGGCAGGCTTGTGGCAAAATCATGAATTGCCACAATTAGTTATTGTGGCTAATTTATTATATTTTGTGGCAAAATTTGGTGCCACAAAATGTCAAGTTTTTTGTGGTTTGCGTGAGACACGAGAGAACTAGAAAACCCCAAAAATGGAAAATTAGCACCTAATATAAAATTAATCTAGCAAATATGCAACAATTATCAAGAGATTTGCAAGAAATTGAAGAGAAATTGATGAGAAAAGGAGGAAAATCGAACCTGTTAAGTAGTTTCGTTTGTCGTCGAAGAGGAACAGAGACCAGACGAGAGAAAGAATGATAAAAACGAACAGGGGTGGGTATTTATACCCGAAGCGAAAAAAAGCCTAGATGATCGATCCATAGTGTTGGATCGATCCGCCGTATATGTGTTCTGCTCCAGAAATAAAATGTGGATCGATCTTTTGCTTTGGATCGGTCCCATGAATTTTTGTCTGAATCCGGAATTGGACGTTTAGCCCAGGTGATCGATCCTGCTGTTTGGATCAATCCGCCGAAGTGTATCTGCGAAAATGAGTTGCCCAATGGATCGATCCTAATTCCTGGATCAATCCACCGAAGAGTTACTTGAAAAAGGATTATTTCTCTTCGGTTTGGGTGATCGATCCATATGTTGGGATCGATCCCCTCTTCTCTAGTTTCGAAAAATGCCCTGAAACAATTAAAAAATACCCTGCAAAAAAGAATTATTGTCCCTCTGACGCTCAAATTAGTATCGTCAATAAAAGGAATGAATTAGTTCTTAGAGATATCCAAAATGCCAAGTTCATTCCGAATATGAAAGAAACTCTCCCTACAAAGGCGTTTCGTGAAAATGTCCGCCAATTAATGTTTCGTTTCAACAAACTCAATTGTGACATCTCGTACGAAGTGATGCCTAATTTCTATGTGTTGTCCGCGAGTGAAGAATGGGGTTCTTCGTTAGACTAATAGCGCTCATATTGTCACACCTAATTGGGATGTGATCAAGTATAAGGCCGAAATCCACTAGTTGCTGTTTTAGCCAAAGAATTTCGGCACAACAACTTCCCCCAGCGACATATTCCGCTTCCGTGGTGGAAAGTGCAACGCTGACCTGCTTCTTACTAAACCTCGAGATTAACGAATGACCGAATAAGTGGCAAGTACCGCTGGTACTTTTCTATCGAGTTTGCAACCTGCAAAATCCGAGTCGAAATAGCCAACAAGATGACATGTCGAACCTTTGTGATACCAAAGACCAACGTTCAACGTGCCCACGAGATATCACATTATCCTTTTGATCGCAACCAAGTGCGACTCTTTAGGACATGATTGGTAACTAGCGCATATACAAATGGAGTACATGATATCCGGTCTACTCACGGTAAGGTAAAGTAAAGAGCCGATCATACCTCGGTAGCACTTGATGTCTACCTCTTTACCTTTTTCATCCTTGTCGAGATAGCAAGAGGTACTCATTGGTGTGTCAATGGATTTGGATTTGGTAACGTCGAATCTCTTAAGCAATTCCGTGTAATATTTCGTTTGGCACACGAATGTTCCTTCTTTGCATTGCCTAATTTGCAGCCCTAGGAAGAATTTCAATTCTCTCATCATCTACATTTCAAATTTGCTTTGCATCAAATCGGAAAAATCCCTGCACAAAACTTCGTTAGTAGCAGCGAATATGATATCATCTAAATAAACTTGAACCAAAAGGATGTCTTGGTTATGTTTCTTGATGAAAAGAGTAGTGTCGACTTGACCCCGTTTGAACTCATGGTCCAAAAAAAATTTGCTTAACCGTTCATACCAAGCACGCGGTGCTTGTTTTAGACCATAAAGCGCCTTTTTGAGTTTGAAGACATGTTCAGGAAACTCATAATCTTCGAAACCCGGGGGTTGTTCGACATACACTTCCTCTTGAATGATACCATTAAGGAAGACACCTTTAACATCCATTTGATAGAGTTTAAAATCCATCGTAGATGCAAATGCAAGCAATAAACGAATATCTTCTAAAAGTGCAACTAGTGCATAAGTTTCTTTGTAATCAATGCCTTCTTCTTGATTGTAGCCTTTAGCTATAAGCCTAGCTTTGTTTCTAGTGATTACTCCATTTTCATCAAGTTTGTTTTCAAACACCCATTTTGTGTCAATAACGGAATGATCATTAGGTCTAGGCACCAATTCTCAAACATCATTATGTTTAAATTGGTTAAGCTCCTCTTGCATCGTCTCACCGTTTTTGATGATTAACCACAGTTGGAAGTTGATTAACCAAATGTAAATCCTCATTCGTTCCTTCCAATAGGTGTAGTTTGTTCCATCAAAGAGTGGAGGTCTAAGGGTGGAGTGTCCTTCACTTAATCCTGCATACGACATTCTCAACAAAAAATATAGATCGTTCTCTCAATTGGTTAAGGCTTGTAGAGAGTTAGTCTCTGATACCAATTATTAGAATAAGTTCCCTTCACTAGAGGGGGGTGAATAGTGAGGCACGAGAATGTTTATAAATTTTCGCGGAATAAAAATCGCAGGGATAAAGTAAAGAGCAGAATAAAAAAGCGTAAGGAAAGAACACACCGATTTTACCCTGGTTCACCACAACATGTGGCTAGTCCAGCCTCCCGAGAGACTATCTCGAGTTACACTACTTTCGTTAAGCTTACGGGTGCTTAACAAACTGTTACAACCTGAGTACTCGAGTCCCACGAGCCTCAATACACTTGCTTGGAGATATCGCACTCCAAGACTTCAACCCGAAGGAATATGCCCTTCCTTCGTACAACCAAGGGAACAAACCTCCCTTAAAGTGTTCACAACACTTAACCACTCAAGAAAAAAAAACCTTCTTAAAGAGTAGAATATGAGTAAACTAATTTAGATGAAGAACACACTCAATTCCTCAAGAAATGGCTCTAAAAAGCTATGTAAAAAGTTTATGAAATGATGCAATGTAAAGCTATGAAATGTGTGAGGAATGGTTGTGAAAAGTACACCCAAAAGACACCTATTTATACCCAAAAATGATGTGTAACGAATGGGAGTTGATTTGGGTTTAAAGGCATGATTTGTGGAAATCAAATAGAAGTAGATCTGCAGGAAATCAGCCTACCCAGCAATGTGTGGATCTACGTATCACTGGTAAGCCAGTTTTCCTTCAGTTTTAAGGACAAGGGTCACCTACCCATCGATGGGTAAGCACTTCCCATTGCTGGGTGGGAGGTTGACTTTCAAACAAGGAAAGAATCAGGCTTAAATGCCTTACAACGGTCATGCCTAACCAGCAATGGGTATACCCTCCCATCGCTGGGTACCCATCGATGTGTCCAAGTTTTCATCGCTAGGTGAGGGCATTCTGCATTGTGTTAATGTTGAACCAAGGCTTGTACAATGATGGGTGGAACTCCCCATCGCTGTGTGACATGCTTCTGGAATCCAGCTGAGCTAAAGGACCACTTACCCATCGATGGGTAATATATCCCATCGCTAGGTTGATGGCTAGTCCAAAAACCTATGGTTTTTTCCTGAATCATGGCCTAGCCGACCGATGATGAAACTCGACCGATGTTGAAACCCGGCCGATAAAATGTGAAGTTCCCCAAAATAAAAACCAAGTGTTGGAAACTCTTATATAATGTATTTTATGTAGAAACCAAGTATAAAAACTTAAAAACCACTTCATTAAGGTAAAAACCAGGGCTAGCCAAGTTCATGCCGTTTCATATGGTTTTCACCAAAAGACCAAAAATGAAAGGTGGTTTTTAACATGTTTTTGTTGGAGAACTGTTTGGATATGCCCAGAAGTAAAAACCAATCATAAAATATTAAAAAACACATGATTGATTTGGACGCCAAAAACCAACGCCGATAACCTACGCCGAAGGCCGATAACCAACGCCAAAAAACAAAGGTTATGGTTTTTGAAAACAAATCATTTTAAAAACCTTTAAATGTGTTCAGAATCAAAAACCAAAGATAAAAGCCCAAAAACCATTTGGCTAAAATCAATGCCGAAAACCGAACGCCATAGCCGAACACCGATAACCGATGGTTATGGTTTTGGTTGGGCAAGAACCAGGGGATTTAGAAACTTAAAATTATTTATGAAAACACTCATTTGATGCATGAAAAACATATTTTGTTTTGAGCCATGTCTTAGAGAAATTGAATCAACTTGTTACAATAAAAACCTAAGTATTTAGACAACATCTTCAAAACGCCAGTGTCGCCATCTTTAGAAACGTCAATGCCTTTCTTGTTCTTTTTTGTTCTTTTTTCTATCTCTTTGAACCTTTTCATTTTGTTCCATGTTCCCGACGGTTTGTCAATATCAAAACCTAAACGGAAACAAACATTGTCATTAGCAAAACGTCAAAGTGAAAATGTTTTCCAACAGGAGATGTTCTAGTAGCGTCCTCGGTGGCGCCACTGCCCGCTTGGCGAAGTGAGTTAGGAAGCGGGTGGCTCCTCTTCGGTGTCGAACCAAAGGTACAACCCGTCTTGATAGTAGAATCGGTCAGAGGAGGAGGTCGCCGGAGCCCGTGATTTGGACTTTGATTTCCCGGTAGCAGTGCCTTTGCTCTTGTCTTTGCCCATTTTTAGAGAAAAGTGAGAAGAATTGAGAAGATTAAGTTGAAATATGCAAGAAGATGCAAGAGATTGTGTTTGTGTTAGTGAAAAAGGATGAAATGGGGTACAAATATATAGTGGATAGGGGTTTGCAACGTTCAGAATTCAAAAATATAGCTGTTCGAGTTAATTTAGTTCTCAATGGTTATTTTTTTGAAAAATTTGATCTAAACAGCGATGTCCAAAGGTCTAGATCGCTGTTGGGACATCGATGTTGACCTGGTGTACATCGCTGTTGTGCGTTAAGTTTAAAACTCGTTGAATTTTGGACAACGATGTCTTGCACTCAACAGCGCTGTTCCAAAAGTTTCTAGAACTGAGTGAAAATGGTGAACCCTCACTAGTACAAAAATGACTTTTTAAATCGGTTATTTGGACCCTTTTAAATCGGTTTCCAACCGATGCAAAAGCCAGCGATGCAAATACTCCGATACTTTTTGCATCGGTTGCTAAAACCGATGCAAAAACCCTTTACAGAAATTACCGCCAGTTCTGAAAGTTGGCTTTTGCATCGGTTATTACTAAAAAACCGATTCAAATGCCCCTACCCAGAAATGGCGCCATATTTGGGTAGGGGCTTTTGAATCGGTTATTTGTTGGGACATCGATGTTGACCTGGTGTACATCGCTGTTGTGCGTTAAGTTTAAAACTCGTTGAATTTTGGACAACGATGTCTTGCACTCAACAGCGCTGTTCCAAAAGTTTCTAGAACTGAGTGAAAATGGTGAACCCTCACTAGTACAAAAATGACTTTTTAAATCGGTTATTTGGACCCTTTTAAA